CTGGAGATGGTTACCGCACCATGTTTTCATCCAAGCCACTTTTTGATGTCATTTTTCTAGTTCTCGTCAACTGCGCTGACAGATCTCTGCCCACACTAACAGCCCAGGATAGGATAAACACCAAAAGAAGGGTCAAGCAAGGATAAAAACCTTTCTGTTTATCACAACCGCAACCTGTTTGACCAGCAGAGATCGAAGTGGAACGCCATTAAAGTCTGTTTGAGAGTGTGTGTTTACTCCATCCCTCATCCCATCTCCAAGTCATCCTTTAATGTCAACTGTGTCTTTATATTGGCCGGATATCTCCTTCCTGGCGTTCAGGATATGTTGGTGAGCTCAGGACTAATAAAAGCCAGGAAATGTGGGTTCTTCCGCAGACTGTAGCAGCAGGTGGAGGAGAGCTGGCAGGAGCCGCTGCTTGATAGCGGGGCTCATTTTCACAGCTCTGTCTGTGGCGAGCACAAACTTCTCGAGCCTAATAGACTTTGGCTTCTGAGGACGTTTTGTGGCTGGGTACACGACGGGGTGTCCCCGCGTCTCTTACGTACCATCCTGTGTGAAGTGGATGAGTCCCCTCGGTCTTTGACTAATCTAGTTAATCATGTGGTCGGCCCTGAGGCCTGGCCAGCCAAAGCTAACTGGAAAGCACACAGAGACAACAGGCCGGCGGAGGTGTTCCCTGAGCCGGTCGGATCGTATGCACTCAACGACAAGCCTGGAAAAGCAGACCTCCCTGTCTGTGCGGGATTGTGGCCTTCACCTGACGGAGCAGAACAGCCTCCCAAAATATAAAGACAGAATCCAAAAAAATAGACTTCTGCCACTCCAGAATGAGTTCAAGTACACTAACAAAGAGAAGACAGAGGAGAAACCAATGAAAAAATACCATAAATGATTTAAAAATCTAATATTGTATGCCAACGTATTCACATTAGTACTGCCACAACACTAAATTTCGGTACTAATCGGTACTGACATTTTTAATACCCCCATTTCCTGCTTACATTAGGCATTGTGTTCATGTGCTCAACAGAATTGACTGTAATTGGCCATGAAGGTCATCAGTTCACCACACTTCACCGCTCTTCACAGAGTCCAAACACAGATAACAAGGACACTGGAGCATTTCAAAGTTGCATCGATCAGCTGGTCTGTCTATGAGCAGACATACGAGCCATCCGCCGATGGATCCACTGATCTTCACAGCTTTACAATGCTCCAGTGTTCATGTATCTGTGTTTGCAAATGGTGAACAGCAGTGAATTGTCATGAATCGATGACCTTTATGACCAATCACAGTCATTTCTGTTGAGCACATGAACATGATGCCCAATCCGTGGTGTTTAGGCAAGTGCTCAACATCACTCAAATGTTATAGGGAAATGCACTTTATTATTAATAAAATGTCAGTAACGATTGGTACCAAAATTCTGTAAGATGACAATACTAATTTGCATTATGCAAGTCATAATCATATTATGCAGTTACATTTTATTTTAACCCCTTCAGACCTGAATTGTGTTCCACATTTCAGAAAAATGGGATGTCATGTGATGTCCATTGTAATGGACTCAGGGTCTGAAGGGGTTAATAATAATAAATGTTTGATACAATGTACTTATTGTGTAATATTGCTTTCGCCACTATTTTGGAGGGGTATATTTCAAGTTAGGAAGAGCTCGAGATCTAAGCAAGTATTTGCCAACTTCCCACAGCCATGACAAGGTTAAACATAGTTTAATAACCAACACTGGAGGGTCAAACCAAAAAACAAACCAAAGACCCATCCCAGACCTCATGCACAAGCCTTCAAAATAGCTTTCAGGAAAACATTCACTTTCCTTTCTTAAAAAAAAAATACGACCCATTGAATTGTGATTATGGCCTTTACCTGATGAAAACCCGACAATAGCAGACCAGCCTCCAAGAATATAAAGACAGCATCCAAAAAACAGCCCTCTGCCACTCTAGAATGAGTTCAATTACACTAACAGAGGGGAAACGGAAGAAAGAACCAATGTAAAAGTGCTAAAAAATAACAATAATTAAATATTGTATGCAAACGTATTTGCATAATGCAGTTGTAATCGTATGATGCAGTCCTACTTTATTTTAATTATACTAAAATCTTGATACAATGCACTTACTGTATAAAAATGCATTTTTACTATTGTGGAGGGATAAAGTTGTGGTTGGGAAGGGCAGGGGATTTAAGAGTTGGTTTAAGACGCAATATATATTTTTTAATTCAAACATCCCAAATCTAATATGACAATGTTATATATTTGGAAAAATCTTGAGAAATGAGCAATTCTAACTAGTAACCACACTCTAAACTACTGACTTTTGTGGCTTATTTAACAAATAGTACAAAAATACAAACTACTTATTTAAAATAAGTTTTTTGGGGATAACCAAACTATTTTATGTTCAATACATTTAAATTTGTAAAAGTTAAAGTTAACTAAGTCAATTTTAATGTTGAGACAACGTGAAGGAATTGCATGGAACCCAGCATTTTTAAAGTGCATGCTAATAACGTCACACGCCCTCAATTTCCGCCTAGTTTTTTTTTTAGAAACCTGGGGAACACCAAAATCGCTTTAATGTTTTATTAGACTGCACAGAACAGCATTAAAAAAGCAACTTAAATGTATTTAGCATAATAAACATTGTTGCTTCTTCCATATATGATAACAAGCAGTGTATACTTAACCTCTACCTGCAAAAATTGCCCACTGTGCCTTTAAAAGTTAAAGTCAACAGTGCGATAGATGTATTATATTTATAATTTATATTTATTTTATTATACATGTTATAGATGTATTAACAGAAAATAATTATGGCTGTAAATGCATGTAGGTATTTAAATATGAGCTTAATACAAAAACACTGACGTAAGTGCAATGCATCAAAAACACTGTATGTTCAATTTCCATTTGACTACAAAGTGGTTGATGCGTGAACAAAGAAAGGAGAATTAAAACAAAGAGAATGAAACAGATAAGTAAGAATGGAAAAAAACAGAAGCAAGTAGACAGGAAGCGATCATACATCAGGGAGCGACGCGCATCACATTTATTGTCGAGCATTTGTAGACTAAATCAAGAGGCCCTGAAGCTCGGCAGCAAACGCACAACACTGGGGAAAATTCATTTCAGAGCGACACGGATTCCTTTTCATTACGCTGCACCCCTTCATCTGGGGGAGAAATCAAACCGGCCCTGTTTGTTGTGTTTCTGAGTTCCAGAGAATAAATCAAAACAAAGGAATGGAGTAGAAAGATGGTAAAGGGAAAGAGAAAGAAACACACACACAGAAAAAAAAAGAGAGCGAGAATGACAGTTCTGTCAAGCGTTCTTGTAACATTTGGCTTGTTTTCTAGTGGAGTAACAAGAGTGGGAAAAAATAAAAAATAAAACAGCTTGACAAGTCTCTGTTCCAGACCAAACTAAAAAGAGATGCAAATAATAACCATGATAAACAAGCTGAGTGTCGGGATCCCGGTTGTAACAGGACGGGGCCGTATTGGCAAGAACAAGCTAGCTTTTCAACACTGCTCCGGAGGAAAAATGAATGATGGAGATTCTTTATGCTCCAATTAAAAGTTCTGCAATGGTTCTCCCTCGTTCTTCTCCCACGTCCATTCGATCTGTCATCCTATCGCTCAGCAGAAGCTCTGCTGAGTCGCTCTTTTCTTCATTTCAGCAGACCTCACAGGTAAACTGGCATGCATCAAATGAATAGTTCACCCCCAAAAAATGAAAATTCAATCCTCATTTACTTACACATTCCAAACGTATTTGAATTTCTATCTTCTGTTGAGCACAAAAGAAGATATTTTGAAAAATGTTGGAAACCATCATAGTCCTACTACTCTGTGAAAAATGCTGGGTTCCACACAATTCCTTCATGTTGTCACAACACAGACCGATTACGTTAACTTATTCATTTTTACAAAAACGTAAGTGGAGTAACATAAGAAAATTAAGTTGTCCCCTAAAAAACCTTAAGAATTTTGTTGTTTCAACTCATTTTAAATAAGTAGTTTGAACAGGCAGCAAAATAACTGGTTACTAACTTTCAAAAAAATATCTGGAAAAAAAAACTTACATAAAAAAATAAATTTTAACAAAAAATGCAATAAATAAAAAAATATTAATAATAATACTAACAATACAAAACAATATTACTAAATATTAATAACACTAACTAATAATAATAATAATAATAATACTAAATAATAATAATAATAATAATAATAATAATAAAAATAAAAAATAATATTACTAAATAATACTAAATAATAATAATAATAATAATAATAATAATAAAAATAAATTATATTACTAAATAATAAAAATACTAACTAATGATAATAATTATAATACTACTAAATAAAAATAATAACACTAAATTATATTACTAAATAATAATAATAATAATAATAATAATAATACATGATATTATTAAATAATAATAATAATACTAACTAATAATAATTTTAAATAATACTAAATAATGCAAATGTTACTAATGAATTGGTAAAACCACGAGAGATTTTCAATTTTTAGGAGAATTGTCACTTTAATAAGAATAGCTCCTCTGTTTAGCGCCTGCTTGACCTTTCCGGGTTTCCTCATTCCTCCTTTTGAACCTTTAATCAATTCGGGTCAGAGCAATTTTAGTTTTTTTTCTTCCATAGAAACTTTAGAAGGAAGTCCAAGGGGAGTGATGGAGGCAACAAGAGCAAATTGGGGTTAAGTGCATCGCCCAAGGGCACCACCACACCACAATCAAGAGCTGAATTATTTTCCCCTCGTCTAGCGGATACAGTCTTCCCCCTCTCTCTCTTTCCAAAACACAGGTTGAACCATCCTTAAAATGATTTACAGAGCAGGCCTTGTTAAAGCACCACATAGCTTTTGTGTTACAAACTAAAGGAGTTGATTTGCAGTTGTGAGGAAGTGAAGGCGAGGAAAAAGTAGGCATTTACTGACCTTGAAGTCATACTGGGATGTGGACAGCATTCCAGTGAAAAACACAGAGGAAAGAAGAGAGAAATAAGGTGAAGATAGACATAAATTTAGCGGGGTTAAGTTGGAAAGCTTAGTAAGACACAGAGAGAGAGATAACAGTAGTTAGGGCTTCACATTTACAGTAGGTGTTAAATGTATGCACAGTGAAAAGAAAATATATAATAAAATCAAAGTAAAAAAACTTAGATGATGATTGCAGATGATAAAAGCTGGAATTTGGTGAACCAGAAGCATCTTTAGTAATGTCCAAATGAACAAAAATTGAATATATGATTATGAAGATGACAAATTATGAAGTAAACTAAAATTTACGTGACACAATACATCCAACTGGAATGTTCTGGCCTTTTGACGTGGCCAAGGATGCATGGTAGTGGACTTTGCTTTTAACACACTTCATTCCACCCACATTAATCCGTATTCTTGTTTATTTGATAAATAATTGACCAACAAAAGGTAATTACAATTAAAATACAAGCTTTTACCCAAAGAAATTCGTTCCAAAAAGAATAAATAATCTGCATCGGCCACTTTGTGAACATTGGACTGCTAGTTAACTCATACTACCTGTTTATTATTAAGACACGGTTGCTTTATCATATTTATCATATTTACAAGCTTCTTGCACTATACAGCAATATACTATACTTTTTGCACTATACAATGTTTTGCATCTGCACAGCTCTGGTTTGCACTCAATGCCATGTGCCCTTAAGTGTAATTGTATTATTTAAAAATATTTATTTTTACTTCTGTTTTTAGATTTTATTATATGTGTAATAGTAATTATTGTAATTTCTTTTTAAAAAATCTATCTTTTGTATTATTATTATTATTATTATATGTTAGGAACCTACTGTATGGTTTGAGAGTAACACAATTTCGATTTTCTGTATGTCCTGTACATGTGGTTGAATTGGCAAGAAATCTGACTTTGACTTATGTCTGATCCACTTCCTTTCTACTGATGTACTGTCATCCCATTTGCCATGCCTTTATGACACATACAATTAACAAATTGAGGAACAACACAAAATACAAGTGATATTTAAACTAAATAAAAGCTTTAAAAAAAAAAAAACATTTAACAAGGTGACCCCCCCCCTTTATATGGCGTAAGGATGTTTTTTGTTCCCTGTGTTTTTACAATTATTTAGGTAGCTACATATCGATGGACTAACATGCAAAAAAATAAAATACAATAAAACAAATGCCTTTACACTATTTTTAAAATAAAAATAAGTTTAAAAAAAGCATGAGATTTAATTAATAAAATGTTATTTACTTTTATTTATCCCTCAGATATCCTCAGATATTTTTATAAATATATGATTATATTTATATACTACAGACACATATATCCAGACTTATATAAAGAGAAAAGAAATTTGTTACAATATTTTACAGCAAATTAGATTAAGGTATGTATTATAATATAATATAATATAATGTATAATATAATATAATGTAATATAATATAATATAATATAATGTAATATAATATAACATAACATAACATAATATAATATAATATAATATAATATAATACAATACAATATAACATAATATAATATAATATAATATAATATAATATAATATAATATAATATAATATAATATAATATAATATAGAGAATTAGCTTAACCATTGTAAAAAAAAATAATAATAATTTTTTCCTGCATCTATTTCACCTCCATTCCTTTGCAAGTGATCTCTTCTCACTCCCCCTCCCATTTTAGCTCCCTCTCAAACAGCAACCCTCCGTAATTACTGGCAAATTCAGCGCTGCCGAATTTATGAAATAAATACCCTAACGTCCCATTTCAACCCCTGCCATTTTCCAGTGACTTTGAAGGCATTTTTCGAACAAGTCCTGCCTCCGCACCACTGATCTGCGACAAGAGGAGCTTTGGCTTCTTCCATCTCGGAGCCAGAAAAGGTAATCCTGACTCACTCTGAACCCGAAAGTGTCGCCTCTACCTGCCACTCGCGCCTTGATTAAAGAGGATCTGTCTGAGTAACTCACCGTCAAAACCACATCAAGAGTCAAAACTCCGGAGTGCCGGAAGACTGCGACAAAGAGCCAAACAATGGGAGCTTTTTGAGATCCTAACTCCCCGGTGTGTTTCGAGAACACAACCCGACTCTGAGTGGTAATTAGCTCACAGTGCCACGGTTAGCGACTACAGCTGATGTTTATTTCAGAAATCTTCTCTCGGTTCGACATGAATGATGCATCGAGCCCGGCATATGGAGTTTGTTTTAGTCTAATCCTCTTCCATCGCAGATCTGTTAAGAAACCGTGAGACATCCAACGAGAGTCAGATTAATATTTATGAATCAACAGAAATCCACCTAAAAAAACACTTCCAGGATCTCGAAAAATGCTGCTTGGGAACGCTTTGAAAGAGAGTCGAGGATGACTGTCAATGCGCAATATCAACATTCGTGACCTCTGTGACTCTTCACCTCTAGGCCAGACTCTCCCTTTGCATTCTTGCCTGTTTACTCTTCAATTATTCATCGGCTTTATTTATTTATAGGAGCCAAGATGTGAGAAGGCCTCCTATTAATTAGTCCAATTATGGAGGTTGAAAATGCAGATGTTTACATCAGCTGCAACACCCATAGACATTGGAGAAGCCATTGAAGATGAAGGTGCAACGTACCGACTACATGGACCCTTTTCACAACATGGGTTAACAGTCATCAGCATCTTAAATCCTTGAAAGTTTTTATTATTTAGATTTCTTTGATTGCCTATCTTAAGTTGACTTCTAGTTGATCATTTGGTATCAGAAGTGGCTAATATGAAAGGCAAAAGTCTCTATATTACGCTTATTTTCCCAATATAAAATATGATCATGACTTAATTTTTATTGATTTAATTAAGACAGTAAGTTCTGACTTTGCTTAGACAAAAGTCTTGTCACTTGACAGAAATAATGTACATTAGAGTACAGTATAGTCATGGTGCAGTGGAAAAGGAATGCATATTGTGTATGACTCCCATGAGCTAGGAGGACTGCATCCATACACTCTAAAAAAACGTTGGGTTATTTATTTAACCCAATAGCTGAGTTAAAAATATTTGGTGCTTTGTTGGGTTGTTTGGAACCTTTACTGGGTTATTTATTAATAACTCAACCAGTTGGGTTAAATATTTGGTGCTTTTAATTTTAACAGTCAACTGATTTAACTGAGAGAACAGCTGTATTAATATTATATTATAAAGTTTATTTTAGCTCTCACGCAATAATTTTTTTTTATTAAATTACCTCTCTGTGTCGTGTTTTTTTTATATTCGTTTTAGCAGCACTCTTAATTTGATAATACAAACGCACTTTATAGCCGACCTAAAAACGGATAAAAGCACTCTCTCTACCTCTGTGTTCATTTCTACCGTTTTTTTTTTTTTTTTAGAGGAAATGATGCACGTATTTGAGATATTAAGCCACATTTTAGCAAAATAACCAAACAAATTAGTAATTTTTGTAACCCAAATTGTTGGGTTAACATTAACAACTCAATGAATTGGGTTTAAATAACTCATCAGCAGGTCAGTGGCAAAACAACCCATCCTTGGGTTACCTGTTGGGTTATTATTTAGCCCAGCTGTTTTAAGTGAGCACATCTCATCGCAATGACTCAAATAACTTATTAATAAAGTCAACTGGAATGGCAAAGAAAGTGTTCATGCAGGACTCCCAGAGTTCATCAAGATCCTTTGGATCCATCTTCAAAGCCTCCTCCTTTATCTTACCCCAAACATGCTCAATAATGTTCAGATCTGGTGACTGGGCTGGCCAATCCTGGAGTTACTTGACCTTCTTTGCTTTCAGGAAATTTGACGTAGAGGCTGAAGTATGAGAAGGAGCGTTATCCTGGCTGGAGAATTTGCCCTCTCCTGTGGTTTGTTATGTATTGGGCAGCACAAATATCTTGATGCAGATCTCTCGCAAGTCCCCATACTGAATGTAAATTCAAACCATGGTTTTTCCTTGACCAAACTTGACAGATTTCTGTGAGAATCTTGGGTCTATGCGGGTTCCAATAGGTCTTCTGCATTATGTGTGATGATGATGGCATGCAGTTCAACAGATGATTCATCAGAAAAATCGACCTTCTGATAATTTTCCTTATGATCAAGTTATTATTTGTTGCTTATACAGCTGGGATCGACGACAAGACCTTTGTCAGGTAGTGTATATGCATTTATGTTTATATTAGATCATCTTTGGATCAAATAACAAATAAATTAATTACCTCTTGTGGTGTTTCTAATGTAGTGTCTATGGGTAAGAGGGTAAATTTGATGTTGCTTTTTCTTCTGGCTGCCATTATCAGTCTCACACAATGTTTTTTTCTTTATTCTGAAAGTCTTGATGACCCCCTCGTGAAGTTTTTCTGTTATTATTTTGGCAAACATGACAGTAAAAAGAATTATTTGTTGTACTCTCCTGTTCACTGTGCTCTAGATGTGTACCCAACTATGACGACTTCCGCTACTGAGAAACCCGGAAATGTTAAAAGGGTCCATTCTCCATGTCTAGCGTATTCGGAGATCAGAGCAATGTGTTGGAGATTAAAATTAAATCTGCGGTCTGTGTCTGCAATGGATCAGGCGCATTTGACAATGCCAACATCTCATCAACCGCTGTGGGATGAGAGCTGAAGTTTACCCTCTAAAATCTCCAGCAAAACTGCCTTCTGGGGTGACGCCAGAATAAACGGAGGAGAAAAGATGACGGAGTGGGTGAGAACGGCAGCTAGCAGGGAACATAAACAGTGCGAGGAAGACAGGGGAACCACACCTTCATCTACAGGCTAAGACCAAACAGCTCTTTTAAAAGGAAAAGTTATAAGCTATAGTTATAAGTTAAGATAAGTTATAAGTTAAGTCTTAGCGTTATAAATGAGACACATAATACGGCAACAAGACCATGGGCCTGCAAAGTGCACTGATTTGTTGTAAGGCGTGCAATTTTATTGATAACAAAATAAATGCTTGTGTTTTTGTGCTGATACTTTGGCTGGTCTGCCTTGATTTGGACATTTTTTGTTTCAGTGAGTTGATTCATTAAATTTTTCATCCAAAAAATTCCTTCAAAAAGCTGATTCATTATGAAACAAAGCAAGTAACTGTGTTTATCGGTAGATCATTTAATACTTTAATCCAATTATTGCTATAACAGACTCATTCAGATTAAATGTGGTGAGATGCACAAGTGTATTTGATCTTTTGTACTATTTTTATTGTGAAAAGAAAAAAAAGTTGTAGGATATTAACTCGATTACTTTTTTAAATGTATTAATGTTTGTTTAAAACCTGTTTCATATTTTTGAAAATGAGCTTACTTACTTGCACTATATTCTGAAAAAAGTATTGGACATAAATTTGACAAAATTAGTGGTTTTTCAGCTTTAGTGAGTGATTGATTCCTTAACGTTTTCATTCAAATGATTCATTTAAAAAGCTGATTCATTATGAAATGAAGCAAGCTGCTGTCTTTATCAGTAGATTATTGAATACTTGACTCGAATGATTACTAAAACAGACTCATTCAGACTAAATGTGCTGAGATGCACAAATGTTTTTTTTTCTGTTTTTTTTGTGTTTTTTTGTTACTATTTTTTAAGAAACTCACTTAATATTAACTTTTTAAAATGCATTAACATTTGTTTAAAACCTCTCACATTTGCAAATGAGCTTACATGCTCATATTCAGACAAAAGTGTTAGTAGCTCATTGAATACTTGACTCGAATGATTACTAAAGCAGACTCTATCACACTAAATGTGCTGAGATGCACAAATGTATCTGTTTTTGTGTTTATTGTCAAAAGAGAAAAAAATTATAAGTTATTCACTCGATTATTTCTTTTAAATGTATTCACAATTGTTTAAAACCTGTATCAGTGTTTTAATATTTTTATTGTCAAAAGCAAAGAAATTACAAGTAATTTACTCAATATTAACTCTTTAAAATGCATTAACATTAGTTTAAAACCCATATATATACAGAAAATGGTATTGACCAATGGAAATACAGAAAAATAAATGAATTATATAAAAATGGAGAATGGAAAATAAACTGGAAGATGATTAAATGAAAGAATGAATGTAAGAAAAAAGTATTGTACCAAACACAAGCTCAACCTAAAGAATCACATGGATAACCGGGTAAACAAGTATTTATGTTTTAAATTTTTATGAACAATATATAATTAAACATGCCAGAATTTTCCTTTGCATATTTTTTATGCAGGAGTATGAATTTCATAAAACTGATAAAGGGATTTGCTTAGCCAGTAGTAAGTTTGCATTAAAGATTTATAGTATGTCTATGTGAACTGTACCTCTCCAGCTCGTTGATCTTGCGGTCCTTGTCATTCTTCTCATTTTCCATCTCTCTGAGGATTTCCAGGAGTCGGTCGACTTCGGCCTGAGCCTTCCCAGCATCTTCTTTGTAACGTGCCACCTCCTGCTCAAGTGTGGCAATGCGCTCCGACAGTCCTGCACTAGTCTGAGCCTCGACTGCGACAGAATGAGCCTGTATGAGCAAAGACAGAGAATCCATTAGTCTTCCAAAGTCTTATTAATTATTAAACTAAAACACTAGGAACTTTCATATATTTATATATGATAGGATATGATAATAATAATACAAATAAGCAGGTTTCAAGGGCTGCAGAACATTGTAATTTTATTTATTTAATAGTAATATATTAGTCAATTAAAAAGTATACTCCAATTGATAGATAAACATGAAAGTACTAATAAAAAATAACTTTAATCAATAAAATTACATCATATAATAATATAAACTATCTAAATAATAATTTCATTGTTGTTGTTACTACAACTACTACCACCACCACCACCACCAATACCACAACAACTAATAATAATAATAATAATAATAATACTAATAATAATAATAATAATTTTAGACTGTCATCAAAAACAAATAATGAATAATAACAATTAAAATACGTGTTTCTTATTGCCACAACAATAAATAAATAAATAAATAAATAAATGAATAAATAAATAAAATGTAAAAATAAATAAATAAATAAATACATAAAATTAAAAACTAAATAAATGTATAAATAAAAAAATTTAAATTAAAAATAAATGAATAAATAAATATAATAAAAAACAAACAAATAAATAAATAAATTAAATAATTAATTGATTAATTAAATAAAAAACTAAATTAATTAATTAAAATAAAATAAAATAAAATAAAAATATAGCCAATAAAATCATCTCAAAACTAAGTTATCCTCCGCTGTGTATTTTCACAGGGTCTGGATTTTCCATATGCCTATACTGTGAATGTACACGATGACTTAAACTCTCCATAGCTGAAGACCACTTTGGGACCAATGTCACGCAAACATGTGCGTCTATGCTGTATGTATGTTTTCTTTTTGGAGATCTCCGACACTCATCTCACACATGCGGGCTCTATGTAAGATCCCCCATGACATCACAACAGGATACACTCTCATTATGGGGTGTGTGTGTGTGCGCGCGTGTGGACACATGGAAATGCAATCATGCTGAAGTCATCAAAATAATTAGTGACATTACAGCCGTCTAAGGTGCCGGGTCAAGGGCCTCATCTAATGAAGAGTAAATCAATTCATTTCCCCAGACAATTAAAGGAGTTAGCCGTAAATGTTTCTTTCATAAATGTCCTCTAAAAGGACACAGGTGTCTTCCTGTTGCACAAAAAAAAAAATAAACACAGGGGAGGCTTTACAAGGTGAGCACTGTGTCATTTACACCATCACTACACGCATGTAAATATGAACCTGTCACCTTTGAATGTATAATAATAATAATAATAATAATAATAATAATAATAATAATAATAATAATTAAAAGTTGGAAGATTTGTCTGAATTATATCATATAAAAGTAACCAGACTCAAAAATAAATCCTCACAAGAATCCTGCTGTCGTGTTGGTTAAAAAAAATCTGGCTTTAAAGGTCTCTTCAGACTGGCACTGGGTGAAAGAGGACTGTTCTGGTTTATTGAGGATAATATTTGAAGGTGACGTTTAGGCCCCGCTAATTAGCTTTATTAAAGTCTCGGTCTGAGGTTGAGTAGGTTTTCCAGCCTGTCCGCCAAGAGCTTGTCATCTGCGGACGGACCGGTTGTTGCATATGAGTGTGTGTAAAAGGGGTAAGTCTGGCAAAGCAATGAAAGTTTGTATACCAAGAAAACATATGATACATACATTTAATGTGCAATTAGCATCAAAAATGTGTCAGAAAGAGGGCGGGGCGAAGAAAATATCTGTCAGTCCGAGACACTTTCCTTGAATGTGGTCTGCAATGCTTAAACGAAGTAAATGATGTAACTATTTATTTTCTTTCCCAACAAACAGTTAGTGAAAGGAGGTGCTTAACAGTCAGAAACTGGCAACAAAAATACAGAAGTAAAAGTGAAAATAATTGAAGAGATGTTCATTCTATTTATTTATTTTTGTAAATTAATGTTTTGATTTGTTCCCTACAGTTACTAAAATGTGGGGTATAAATACAATGTATGGTCAAAAAGAAAAATAGATATATTTGAGTAAACAAACGAATGAGTGAGTGAGTGAGTGAACAAATGGGTGAGTGATTAAGTGAGTAAGTGAATGAATGAATAAATAAATAAATTATTAATGAATGGATGAAGCTGTGGGGCAGTGGGTAGAGCTGTCACATCACAGCAAGAAGGTCGCTGGTTTGAGCCCCGGCTGAGTCAGTTAGCATTTCTGTGTGGAGTATTCACCCACAGTCCAAAAACGTGGTATTGGTGAATTGAATAAGCTAAATTGGCTGTAGCGTAGAGGTATGTGTGTGAATGCAAGAGTGTATGGGTGTTTTCCAGTGCTAGGTTGTGACTGGAAGGGCATCCACTGTTTAATAACATACAGTATGCTGGATAAGTTGGTGGTTTATTCCAATGTGGCGACCCCAGATTAATAAAGCGACTAAGCCGAAAGTGTGAGTGAATTAATAAGTAATGAATGAATGAATGAATGAATGAATGAATGAATGAAGAAACTGAGTGAGTGAACAAGTGAGTGGGTGAATGAATGAATGAAGAAATTAAGAAACTGAGTGAGTGAACAAGTGAGTGGGTGAATGGGTGAATGAATGAATGAATGAATGAATGAAATGAGCAAGTAAGTAATCGAAATAATTAACAAATTAATCAATCAAGGATTGAAGCAAAAAAGTGAGTGCATTAAAAAGTAATGAATGCATGAATAAATGGAGTAAGTGAACAAATGAGGGAGTGAATGAGTGAGTTAGTGAGTGTGTGAGTGGATAGATGGATGGGTAAATGAATTAACGAAGGAATTAATTATTTAATGTAGTGTGAAAATGAGTAAGTCATGAAAAAAATTAACAAACATAATAAATGAAGGAGTGATGCAAATGAAGTGAGTGCATTAAGTAATAAATACATGAATAAATGGATTAAGTGTACAAATAGGTGAGTAAGTGAATGAATGAATGAGTTAGTGATTGAGTGAGTTACGAGTGAGTAAGTGAGTGAATGAATGAGTTAGTGATTGAGTGAGTGAGTTAGTGATTGAGTGAGTGAGTGAGTGAGTGAGTGATTGAGTGAGTGAGTGAGTGAGTGAGTCAATGAGTGAACGAGTTAGTGATTGAGTGAGTTATGAGTGAGTGAATGAATGCGTGAGTGAGTGAATGAATGAACGAACGAACGAATGAATGAAATGAACAAATGAGCAAGTGATGGAAAGAATTAACATATTATTAAATGAAGGAGAAGCAAATGAAGTAAGTGAGGGCAATAATAAGCAATAAATGAATGAGTGATGGAGTGAGTGATTGCTGGTTTGCAATTATGATGCAGCTACGACTTATACATAACATAAAACCCATTTCCTAAAATAAGTGGGAAATTAGAACACAACAGGGTGAATAAAAATGATCCATTACTTTCATGCAGATCAAAAGAACAATTAAACGTTGCATATACTTAAATTAGTGATGTATAGACATTTAAAACTTTCCTAATAAGGCTGACATTTTCACATAAATTAACATAAAAGAGTTAGATGGAAAAGTTAGATAAATTAAAGTGTGCCATATTCTTATGTGTATATTCAGGACGCCAGACAAACTAATTCACAATACCAACTGAGAAACAAACAAAAAAAAGTAGCAGACGGGGCAGAAATAAAAAGAAGGAGCATTGATACAGTTATTAGCATGCTGTCCTGGACACCGTGTTGATATTGGAAAGCCCACCTTTCAAAAGAACAACCAGTATCCCAGCACTAAACAGGGGATTGTGGGAAATGCGGTTTAATAACGTTGTTTAATAATGTGTTTGTGTCTGCGCCTGTTTAACTGGGCAACATAACAGAGCGGCTGTGTGAAAACAGCACACATTTGATAGCGGTGTTTATATGCATTTATGCTGACTTGCCTGACCTATAAATGTTCCAGCAAGAAAACATCACGGCGCTGAACGATATAAATGTGCATGAGCGCGCAGCAGGGGATATAAAACCGAGTTTTGATGTGCCTCCATATGAAGTAGTTGAGGAAGTGCATTGGCTCGTGTGTGTAATGTAGACGGCTGGATGTCTTGGTGGCACGTCTGTTCTCGTTTCGGGAGACACCTCCATCCAAATACACTCCTGCCGGTCACACGGGGACAGTCGAGTCCTCCGCCCCCTTTCTGTCTCGTCCAATCACAGCAGACGCCCACTGAGCTGTCAGCGGCTTTTCACTTGCACTGCTTTTATATGAGACCCTGTGCGAACACAGACGCAAACGCGCTGCCAGAGATTTCATTACTCTTGGAACGGACGATGGGACCCAGATCTTCTCATCGAGCTCCGAATGTGCATGTAAAGGTGATCGGTTTGTATGAGAGTTCAGCATCAACGCTGAGGACTGAATTTTATTGCATGCATCTGGAAAACGGTCAATGACAATTGCATGCACAAACTGCGCACATTAGAGCTTCTGCAGATTTAAAGGAATGTTTCAACTCAAAATTCAAGCTGTTGTTGTTTGTGGACTGACAAGCAGAAATTTTAAAGCATTCAAGCAGCACTTTTCTATAAACTAAAAATTAAATATTTTATACTGATGAAAACACAGTTGTTTTTTCTTCAGTGTTTCGGTATTGCACTGTATAAATATTGAAATATTTTTACAGCAAAAAAACAAAAATAAAAATTTCTTTAAAAACCAAATTACTTTAAGTCTAATGTTAAGAGTGTTTTTATTTTTTTTTAAATAATTTTTCATTATTGTGAGTTTGGGGCAGCATGGTGGCTCAGTGGTTAGCATTGTCGCCTCACAGCAAGAAGGTTGCTGATTCAAGTCTGTGTGGAGTTTGCATGTTCTCCCTGTGTTGGCGTGGGTTTCCTCCACAGTCCAAAGACGTGCGCTATGGGTGAACTGAATAAACTAATCTGGCCGTATAGTATGTGTGTGAATGAGTATGTATGGGTGTTTCCAAGTGCTAGGTTGCAGCTGGAAGGGCATCAGTTGTGTAAAACATATGCTGGATGAGTTGGCGGTTCATTCCTCGGTGGTTTATTATCCCTGGTGAATAAAGGGACTAAGCTGAGAGAAAATAAATGAGTGACTATTGTGTCTTTAGGTACAAAACTAGAACTGATATAAAATAAAACGTGTTTATAAATCTAAAAATAACTTTATTTTTACATTTTAAGTAGTTTCACAAACTAATTCTGAGAGGAGCATGTGATATAATTGATCACGGCTGGCTTCTCATCCGTAATTAGTAATAATCCAATTAGATTGATCAAAACTTACAATAAATAGACCCTATAAATTTCACCCTACTGCCTTATCTCAGTTTTTGAAAGAATCCCCCCTTCCACCCCATCTCCTCCTTTTCCTCCCTTTTTCAGCTCTCGACACCTACCTGATCTCGGACCCCCTCTATATGCTTATTGACTAGGCAGGAGCCTTGGGCTCAATTATCACCGAGCTTAGGGTTCTCTCAGGACAGCATGCCAAATCTGCTATAACTGCCAAGCACATCTGTAAGTGTAAACTCTTGAAATTCAGTTAATTTTTCTTTTCATTTTACACATTCACTTACTTTAGATATACTTTCAAAAAGTAAGGTCAAAATAACTAAATGTAACTTCAAAATAACAAAAAAAATAAATAAATAAATAAACAACTTTAAGTCTAATATTAAGTCCAGTTAAGGTAAAAATAACAAAATGAAAATAACTTTAAGTCTATTATTAAGTGTATTTGTTTAAAAATATTTCAGTTTCATGAGTTTTAATGTAAAACTGGAACTAATATAAAATAAAACGTGTTTATAAATATAAATATAACTTTGTTTTTCATTGAAAATAGATTTATTTTTCTGTACATTTTACAAATTCACTTACTTAAATATACTTTAAAAGATGTAGGGTCAAAATAACTAAAATAACAAAATAACTTTGATTAATATTAAGTCTAAGGGTGGCGTGATGGTGCGTAGGCGCAGCGGGTAGTGCTGACGCCTCACAGCAAGAAAGTCGCTGGTTCAAGCCTCGGCTGGGTCAGTTGGCATTTCTATGTGAAGTTTGCATGTTCTCCCCAGGTTTCCTCAACAAGTCGAAAGACATGCACTTTATGTGAATTGGGTAAGCTAAATTGTCCATAGTCTATATTTGTGAATGGGAGTGTATGGGTGTTTCCCAGTGATGGGTTGCAGCTGGAAAGGCATCTGCTGCGTAAAACATATGCTGGATAAGTTGGCGGTTCATTCCGCTCTGGCGACCCCTGATTAATAAAGGGACTAAGCCAAAAAGAAAATTAATAAATGAATATTAAGTCTAGTTTATAAAAAAATAAAATTCATTATCATGAGTTTAAATGAAAACTAGAACAAATATAAAACAAGGCTTGTTTAAAAATATAAAAATAACTTGTTTTCCACTTTAAATCAGGTTTATTTTTCTTTCAATTTTACACATTCCCTTAATGGAGATATACTTTAAAAAGACAAAATGTAAGGTCATTTTCTTCTGAAATAAGAATAAACTAAAGTTAGTTGTAAAACGAACATATATACAATTAAAATAAAATAGTAAGCATCATGTTCATGAGACTAAAATTAAAATGTAATTAAAATGAATTTAATTAACAACAGATAACAAAACTAATAAAATTATACTATATAGTCTGGAACAACATGCCAGTGAGCAAATAAAGACTAATATTATTATTTAATATATTTCTCAAAACATTCATTTATTCATTCATTCATTTTTTTTCAGCTTACTACCTTTATTAATCTGGGGTTGCCACAGCGCAGTGAACCGCCAACTTATCCAGTATATGTTTCACGCAGCGGATGCCCTTCTAGCTGCGACATTTCTCACAACAAATGTTAATTTTTAAGTTAGACTATACCATTGATAAAAATGTACTAAAGCTAAAAGTGTATAGCATCAGTTAAGGAACATGCACACCATACTGACAAAGCTCAACATGACACATTTCAGCTCACGAACACGGCACTGAACCACAGCTCTGCAGCGGCGCATCATCAAACCACACAAGATCATCACTCTCGAGCTTTAGATAAGAAAAAGATCTCATGCAAGCAAATCTCAGAACACTCAGAGTCACTCCGCCAGCTCCCTAACATATCCTCTCTATCTCACATACACACAAAACTAAACTTCAGATAAGCCTCCAGCTCATGCAAGCGAAGCCCCGCTCACACATTTATTAGTTAGACACATATATACACACACACACACACACACACATACATACACAGACATTTAGAGGCACTGGCCGTGCTAAGGGAGTCTTTTCACATAGAGATGCACTTACATTGGAGGGATGGCCTGACACGAGATCAGAACGCTTTCGGGAAGAAAGAAAGAATAACATGGAAACAAAGAAAGAGGAAAAAACAGAGGAGAAAAATTGTCTTCACTGTAAGAAGTGATTAGTTATTTAATTTGTAAAAGCTGAGTAAACGAACTGTGACTGGTAAGTTGATTTAATTTTTGGAATCAGTTAATATCCTTGATAATTTTAAGGCAACATGTTTACTCACTTTAAGTAAAGTCAACTAATCACTTTGTACCATGTTTGTAACCTTTAATACAACACTGAGAAGTTGATGTCTCGGTCATGCTTTACAGTAAGGTTTCACTAGTTAATGGATTTACTAATATAAACTAATAATGAACAACACTTGCAGAGCATTTATTAATCATAATGAGTTCGAACTTCACTGGAGTAGTATTTTTTTTTTTCATGCCAAGTCATATAATACTGTTTGGGTTACTTATATAGGTGTACACACACACACACACACACATATATATATATATATATATATATATATATATATATATATATGTATGTATGTATGTATGTATGTATGTATGTATATATATATATATATATTTATTTATTTATTTATTTATTTTTTTGTGTGTGTGTGACCACCGTTTCAAGCACAAATGTCAAGGCATGTCAAAACATCTTAGGGGCCCCAAAATCACCTCAGACGTCTGAGCGTTAAGGCCACTTAATATAAAGTGGAACTGGTTAACAATAATGTTTTTAATTGAGTAAAGTATGAAATTATGGTTTGTTTTGGATGCTACCTTTAAATACCATTCTGTTAATAATTAACTATATATTAAAAAAATAATATTATATATAGTATCATGCATTATATCATATTATAAAATCCCTCTATGGCTCGGCAGAGGAAAAACTCCACCAGTTTAAGTGCACTTGAGAAAATGTTCAGCTCAGTGTTGTCAGTGATCTGGGTGATGCACAGAGAGAGAGAGAGAGAGAGATGATGAAATATATTCTTTTTTTAAACAAAAAGTGAGAAATATCTGATGTGGTTAAATATCAGGAGGCGGCGAGCAGGCAGGATGAGGAGAGAATGCAGAATTAGAGGGGATGAAAACAGATGGCGATGGGGAAAGAAGTCACAGACGCGGCAGGACTACCAAGCGGTGTCAAAACATCACTTCTGGTGGTTTGAAGTAGCAGGAGCTACAAATAGAAGAGACTTGAGATGACTGGGAATAGGGCTGCATGGTAAATTGACATGAATACTGTATGATGTATACTGTTTTCCAGCATCTCAGAGAAGCTTGGTTTTTTTACTAGGAGCTGCATTAAAACATTATATACCATAAGCTGAAAATGAGCACAGCGTCGACTGAAAAATGGTTATATTTACATTTAATCATTCTATCTATTTAGGCCCAATCCCAATTCTATTTTTGTACCCCTGCCCCTTCCCGTGGCCTTTAAAAACGAGTGTTAAGGAGAAAGGGTTCAAAATGTACCCCTAAGAATTAGGACAGCACTACAGCACATGCACATGTCATCATATGTCATCGCAATCATATGAGATCACACGATCGTGACTGCTTTAGTTACTCCAGTTGTGTGTGTGTTTTTTTTTTTTTGGTATTTATCTTCAAGAAATCACTAAAGGCATATAATATGTTATCATAATGATCTAATGTGGCAAGAAGATCATAACTGTACTGTGCATTTACACAGTGGCCATATCCATCTACTGTATGCAAACACACGAAAACAACACCAAAATTATAGCAGACACTGTAAAAAGCCCATTCTCAGCCACTAGACTTTACTGACAGGGTATTCCAGTGTCATCAAGTTTCAGAATGTTGTGGGACTGCTATACAGGAGTTATGATTAGAGATTATAGATCGCGTTTTTTATTTTACGTGTTTTTTTTTTTTGTTTTTTTTTTAAGTATGACGGTAAAACATGAACACGGTTATGAATATATTAAAACATGTGCTTGTTTGTTGTAAAAATTCATAATAATGACAAAAAATATATTAATTTGTGGATCTCCTTATTTCCGGGTGCAGCTGTGGCTGGTGTATTCTGGGAAATTTTCTTACCTCTGGTTTCGAGTGTGGTGCTGAAAAATCTTCGTTCGAAGGGGCATCTACCCCTTGCCCTTAGCCATACGCCTTCAAGCTAAAGAGAACTGGGACACCCCTACCTCTTTTAGGGAATGCGCAAAACGAGGGGTAGGGGAAGGGCTAAGGGGTAGGATTGGGCCTTAGTCTTCACTGTTTCATTTCCTTAAAGAGATTTAAGCTATCATATTGTATATATTTGTCTAGATTTTTGTAATTAAATTGATTTAAAATGTATTTATTTTATGCAGATGCTCCACAATATAGTACAAAACTGTGTTTTTGTCATCTAAATTGCATTTAAAAACAGATGATTGTATTGCACTTGTAGAATCTAAAACTTGTAATAACCTGTGTGTGCTTTAAATGCAATCATTTCTATAATATGTTTTGTTTTTTTTTTCAATTATTTGTTCTGCATTGATAATTTCAATTATGGTCATATGATCATATGATCATTTATTAGTGAGGTCAGGCTGGAAAATGACCCGCTAAATCCAGCTAAAACCAGCTTGACCAGCCTGGTTTAAGTTGGACATAGCTGGATTTGGCTGGGCTCCCAGGTTGGCTAGGCTCGTCAAGCTGGTTTTAGCTGGTCATCTCCCAGCCTGACCAGCTAAGACCAGGGTGGAAATGGCTGGAAAGCAGCCTGGAAATGGCCAAAACCCCTCTAAAACCAGCCTGGTGAACCAGCTAAAACCAGCCAACCAGCCTAGGCTGGTTTAAGCTGTTTTTTTTCAGTAGGGCTAACAATAGTTTAATAATGGTATTTGTAGTAAAATGTGGTTTTACAAATACTGATTAAGGCCCAAAGCACTACTATTACAGCACTTTGCATATAATAATCACTATTTTTTGTTATAATGATGGCTAATTTTCTTAAGAGAAACTAGACATTATCACAAAATATATTCTACAGCACATGCTAATGCTAAAATGCTAGCAATCACTTAAGAGTGCTTGTCAAGCATCATCTTTCCCCCCCATTTGAGTGCCTGTTGACACATTTAGCTGTTTTGAAGTGTCTAAAATGAGTCAAGTATGAGATTCTGGTTGATTTTTGGATGCTATCGCTAGTTAGCGGCACATGTTGACCATACGCCATTTTGCTAACATCTTCCACTCCATCACTCAACAGAGGAACAGAATACAGGTAAAGTGCACTTGAGTAAACGCTCTTCTCAGTGTCATTGTTTTAAGTGTTGTCAGCGTAGTGCTAACAGCGTGCCAGTCAGAATAATGACTAAGCAGACGAGAGATGTATTTGCTAGCCGTGATGCTTCAAGTGTCTGGGCTCACCTTCTTGAGCTGACTCTCCAGTTTGATGCACTCCTCTTTCTTCTGCTCAAGAGCGATTTCCAGACTCTTCAGCTTGGAGTCTTTCTTCAGTCCAGAGGAGGCCAGGGACGAGGCGTGCTCCTTCAGGTCCAGTAGAGAGGCCTGAGGGCGGTAGAGAGAAGAAGGGTCAAAAAAAAGAGAGCAGAGAGCACTTAAATCAATGATCGACCTCTGAATGTACACTACTGGTCAAAAGTTTGAGATTGTTTTGTGTGTTTGATTTGTTTTAAGAATTATTTTATGCTCGTCTAGGCTGCATTTCGATCAGAAATGTAAAATATAAATGTTAAATTGTACCAGTTTAAAACAGTTTTCTTGCAGTATTGATTGTTGTTTTAATTATACATTGCTCCTGTTATTTAAAGCTTATGTTCATGGTAATACTTTACAACAAGGTTGCATTAGTTATTGTTAATTAATGCATTTAGCAACATGAAGAAAAAATGAACAATAGATTTATTGGAGTGTTTATTCTTCCATGTTAACGTTAGTCAATGGAAATAAAGTTCATGGTTAGTTCATATTCACCCATGGTCAGGGCTGTCCCTGTACATTTGGGGGCCCTAAGCAGAATAATTTTGGGGCCTTACCTTGCTCTGAATAGTGTATTGCCATAGCAAACTGGCCCAAAATGGTTTCATTGCTTATTAAATACAATCAATGAAACAGAAAAGCAAAACCAGATTTCTACGTAATAGCTGTCTGAATGGTTTCATTTTAAATTACTGTTTTTGTCAACTATCATCTTCAAAAATGAAGGATTGTATATCCGTTAATAAAGAGACCAGTGATTTCTACTTAGCGTCCTTCTAGAGCAGGGGTGGCCAAACCTGTTCCAGGAGAGCCACCTACCTGCAGATTTCTGTTGCAACCCATATCAAACACACCTGACCCAATTAATTAGGACCTGAACACCACGTGATAATGACAGGCAGGTGTGTTTGATATGGGTTGCAACTGAAATCTGCAGGAAGGGGGCTCTTCAGGAACAGGGTTGGCCACCCCTGTTCTAGAGTATTTAAAACATATTTTATTAATTTAGCAAACAGATTTAATATGTTATAAAATATTATAGTTTGAATTGAGACCCCAGATTACTAAAGCCGAAAAGAAAATGAATAACGGAAAATCATTAACATGTAAACAAGCATTCCCACTTATAGAATTTACACCTTCTTAACTTAAAATAGTAACAGTTCTAGACCCCTGTAAGCAACAAACACAATTCAGGTATCAGAAGGAAAAGGCCACTTTGGGCACTAGAGTGCTTTTAGTGTAGAATCATCAAAAAGACAAGTACAGATTCTAAAGTAAAGTTAAAAAAAATTGCACTGTGCTCAATGTTTGCCATTTCATATACACATAAACACATGTCACATGTTCATATACACATGAAATCAGTCTTGGAAAAATTTAGAAATTAATATGTATTAAACACCTTGAGTTTATATTTCAAATTTGATGAAGATATTATGCAAAATGGGATCCCTGTTAATATTTTTTTTTCTAAAACTATATCTTTTATGTGATGATGCTGTAATTCACAGTAATAACTAACATTTCAAACTACACTCATTATTTAAAAAAATATATTAAACTGTTAGAATATTTCAAAATTAAACAGTTTGATCAAATAAATGCAGCCTTGAGGAGCAGAATATGCTTAAAAAAACTAAAACCTACAACTAAAACCTAAACTAAAAATTAAAAACATTTAAAAACAATAGTGACCAAAGAGAAAGCTAATGAGAAGCAGGAATAGATTGCGTTAACGTCATGCCACGGGCCCTGATTGAAACAACCTGAGCACAAACACATGTAAACATGCAAATCAGAACCACAGCCAGACGTTTCAAGACGATTTCAACAGCAGGAAATTCAGAGAGCCAAGACAAATTGCTATACGAGCTTTTTTTCATGCATTTGTATACAAACACGCAATCACGAGGATTTAATTCTCTCAGATCAGATTGGATCAAATAAAACTGGACTTGATTTTGAAAGCATTACGTAGGGGAGAAAAGGCACATTTGACAAGGCACTTCATGTAAATTTGAAAACTCTGTCATCGTTTGCTTACTGTCCTGTCATTTTAAAGCAGTATGATTGTTTTTCTTCTGTGTAATGAACTGATATTGCAGCTTTCCAGCTAGCAGAAGAATGTTACAGTGGTTCACGTATTATAAATTAAATTTATATGGAAAAAAAGTCCAACATTTTACTCATTCTTTGAAAATGTTGGTGGAGAAGGAGAGAAATGGACACACACACTGAAAAAAAATTAGTCAAAGATGATTCCTTGGATTTACAAATACGTTTAAGTTAAGTGGTTGTAAACAATTTGTTTGTTTAAATTCAGCCCAAATAAATTAAGTTGAACATTACTTAATTTAATTTGTTCGTTCATTTAAATTCAACTCATATAAATCGTTTGCAACAATTTTGCAGATATGATTATTTTTAGTGCATGCAGACCAAGAGAACAGCTCTGATCCAATGCAAATATGCTGTATATAGGACACGGATGAGCTGGAGAATGGAGAAGAGTGTCAACAAGTCTGGAGTGTATTTTAACCAAAAATCAAGATATCAAGATATATCATATATATATCAAGATATATATATATATATATATATATATATATATATATATAAATATGTATGCGGATTATTGTCAGCTGTGGCAGGAGCTGATGAATGCAAGGAGTCCTGGGAGATGGAGTTCGGCAGGATTACCGTAAATAATCTCCATCGGACAGGCCTGAAGCCAGCAAGGTGAAAGGGGTGGTTCTTTTAGTGCACTTTCAGCATTTTAGTGACATTTTAAGCACTATTTTTGCAGGATTAGCTTGTTGGATGGTCATCTTAACCACGCTTTTTGATGCACCAAAAACATTTCCTAAAGATTTAGAATAAAGAAATATGAAAGAGCAAAAATACAAATTTATGATATTGTACATCTTTAGAAAAACCAATAGGAATCTGTTCAAGTTTTAAATGAAAAACTCTAGCCTATTGTCATTTATTAGGCAAATAAACTGACCAGCACATTCAACTTTACTCAGTCAGAATTTGGGATGTTGAATTCTTCCCGTTCTAAAGTCTTGCTGAGCCAAATTCGACACCCCAAATAAATATGCCAAAAAAATAAATGACAATAGGCTAAAGTTTTAATTTAAAACTTGAACAGACTCCTACTTTTTTCTAATGATAAATGATCGGCGCCTCAAATTCTGTACCGACAGCCAATGTGGGATTCCACTTGGTCTTAAAGCTTTTTTTTAAGAGTTATTTTCAGAATTTATCAAGGCATGGCAGTCAAAATAGGACAAATGAGCTCATGTGAGGGACAAATTCAGGGCATTTGTCAGTGAGGGGTGGCTTTTTCGAACCACCCGAACACACCCTGGTTATTAGCCTATTGAAGAAAGCACCACTGCCGATCACAACAAATATATTCAAAGTAATATATTAATTTTTTTTTTAAAAGTATTCAATCTAACTTAAATACTACAGTAGTTTTAGTAAAAAACACTTAATAAAAATGATTCAATATCTAGTCAAAATGATTGAAAAAAAGTCAAAAAACTAAAATGCAAAATAAAATTACTAAAACTCAAGTGAAGAAAATACAATAAATAAATAAAAACAACATTAAATCAAACTAATAATACAAACTTCAGTAGCTTCTCTATAATAAAAAGTGACTTTCCATAAACAGTCACTTTAATTTCAGCCTCTTTCTCACTGAAAACAATGAAAATGATTCAGAGGCCTTCGAATATGGTGATTCAAGTTATATGAAGCACTTTACGATACATTTACAGTGCTTTCATATCATTTGATATCGAAAAAAGAGTCTTGGATGAACTGTTCCTTTAATGGTACACCGACTTTTATGAGGAATAATGTGCTAAAATATGAAACGGTAGCAGTGGCATCTCAATGGTAATATCAGTGATATCTCTGCACATATGCAGTACATCAGCACAGCAGTGTTTTTTCAAGCCAAGTCTCAGGAACGCTGTTAAAACTGCAGCCTTTCCTGGCGTTTCCGCTTTCAGGCCCGCAATTTCACACTCCACTGGAGTCCGCGGACCAAAATACACACGTAATGTTCATACTGCCGCCCGGCGTCCTCTCGCGTTGGTAAAGAAAACAGGAGAGAGGGGAATGATGGGATGTGCTGGACGCCGCTCTTTATGATTAGAGGAGGTCAGGAACAAGACAATACAGTGGGGGAAAGAATGGAGAAGGAGAGAAATGGACACACGCAGATCAAGAGAATAGCTTAGCTTTGATCCAATGCAAATATACTGTATGTAGGACATGGAGAATGGAGAAGAGTGGATCTGTCAACATGTCTGGAGTGTATTTGAACCAAAAATTTTAAGAAATTGATATAAAGTTATATTTTGTGACAAAAAAAGGCCTACTTTCACTACAAATAAGGCTTTATTGGAATGCATTTATTTAAAAAATATATTTTTGGGTATTTCATGAATAAAATCTTAATTTATTTATTTAAATGTGTTCATTAACTATTTATATTCAGCAACTATTTATAAATTCACAGTATTTGTTTATGAAATATTTGTTGGCATTTCATAAACAAACGCTTCCAAATGCACTATTTATTTATTTAATGTATAATTTCTAAATATGTTTGGTGACTAAAATATTATTTAAATAAACATATTTGGTTGAAAAAAAAAATCTGTTTTGTTTAAATGCACCAAATTACATTGCCTATATTCGCTGAGAAATCGATAAAGATATTCATTTTTAAAATGGGGTGTACTCAATTATGCTGAGCATTGTAGTTATATCTCAATGTGACTTCCTGGCTAAACAAAGGAATAAAAAATAAATAAATAAAAGGAAAAAAAGTAACTCAAATATGTTTAGAAAAAGTGAATGGTCAATAAATGATGACAGAATTATCAATTTTGAGTGAACGATCCCTTTTAAATATTGAATATTGTCATTATCTCACACCTACAGATTCAAAATAGTCCAAAATCAAAAGGCTTGGTGTCAAGATGTGGTTTAATTAACACAATATAAATAAATAAACACAAATCTTTAAGATATTTACTGCCTTGTGTGTTTGATTGTTTATTTATTTATTTATTTATTTATTTATTTAATTATCCATATGTACTCAGTTAAAATGTATACAACTATTTATACATTAACCATATTTGTTTTTTAATTTTAAAATTATTCTCAGGTATTTCATAAATAAAAGCTTGAAAATATTATTTATTTATATATATGTACTCATTTAAAATGTATAAAACTATTTATAAATTAACAGTATTTTTTTACTAATTTTAATAATATTCTTGAGCATTCTATGAACAATAGCTTCAAAATATACTTTATTTATTTATTTAATTATATGTAATTATTTTAAATGTATACAACTATTCATTATTTAACAGTAATTGTTTTTTTTTTTAAATATTCTTGATAATTTCATGAATAAAAGCTTCAAAACATTATTTATTTTTTTATTTTTTTATTTAAATGCACTTATTGAATACAACTAAATTCATTGTCTTAAAAATATTTCTGTATTTAAAACAATTAAAACCAATGTAATTTAAAAGAGTATTCATAAAAAAAATTATTTAATTATGTATAATTGCAATTTTATATTTTGCAATTTTATATTTTATACAGAATGTTAATGTTCTGTATTTGATTTCCGTCTGTATTATTTGGCAACAAGTGAACCAATAAATGGTTGAATTCATATATATTCATATATATCTTGAAACTAACTTATTCATTCCAATATTGGTTATTTAATTAAATTAAATGAATCACTAAAATAAAGAAATAAAATACCATAATTATCACAAATAAAAACAAAACAATTAGGCAAAAAAACAATATTGTTCCAATGCAGTACATTGAAGCAATCTGGTATACGAACCACTTCTGTGAGGCATCAAGAAACCTTGAAATGTTCAGAAATCTACTGCAACACTTTCAGATTTCTCTTTTTTTTGATACACAAAAGGTAAAAAATAAGTAAAAATCAGGCTTTAAACAACACGAGGGCAAGTAACCAATGACAAAACTCTTAATTATTTGTAGGTCAACCTCTCCTTTCATACTGATATACTGGAGAGATGTTAGACAGAAAAACACAAGAAATTGCAAAACAAAGAGAGAGAAAAAGGGAAAAAGAAGAAAAGAAAAAAAAGAAAAGTGAAGAACAGAGGCGAGCTGAAGACAGAAAGAGAAATGAGCAGTTGCTCTCAGGGAGGGGCCGTTCCTTCACATTTACAATCCACCATTTATCTTCATGTCTTACACACACACACACACACACACACACACACACACACACATGCAGAGCGTTGTGGGTCCAGCATGTCTGTTCTCATCTCTACAGCTCCTCTGGACTCGAAATCAGTCTGTCTCTATCAAGAATGAGCAACTCGTCCAATAGCACAAAAATAATGCTTCAACCTGTTTAATCCACACCTGACACATTATAACTGATCATTGTATGAGAAATGCAAACCGCAGTCTGAATTCGTGCACTGTGAAAGTCATTGCACAAGATGTCATTAGGATGTGCGCCTGTCTGTTTGCACCTGTAATGCGAGATATAATCGACTAATTATATAAGAAACGATCTAGTCTAATCATTTACAGGGAACATTTTCAAGTAAATAAGCAATAGTTGAACATCTGTGTGATTTTAAAGGGAAGGTTCACCCAAAAATGAATATTTGCTCACCATTTAAAGTGCTTTGCCTAACTCTTGACGTGTTTCTTTTGTCCAGTAAACACAACAGAAGATATTTGGGGAAAAATGTTGGATGTTGGTGTAGCCACTGACAAGAAAATATACAGTTGAAGTCAGATTTATTAACCCTTCTGTATATGTTTGCCCAAATTTCTGTTTAACAGAGAGATTTTTTTCAACGCATTTCTAAACATAAAAGTTTTAATACGTCATTTAATAACTGATTTGATTTATCTTTGTCATGATGACAGGACATAATATTAGACTAGATGTTTTTCAAGTTACTAGTATTCAGCTTAGTCACATTTAAAGGCTTAACTAGATTAACGAGGTAAGTCATTGTATGATGATGGTTTCTTCTGCAGACAATCAGAAAAAAAAATATTGCTATTCATCAGAAATGGCCAACTACGGATACATTTAAACGTTTTTTGTATACAGATTTAACAGGCATTTGTAATTGTTTTTGATGATGTGATTCCGAATTATGATTTGTGATCTGCGGATGTGAAGTTTGCGATGTTCTCTGTGGTTTTTGTGCATAACTTGTCTTGTCCTGGTCTCACTGAAAGAAAAGATAGTAATATCTCAATGTGACTTCCTGGCGAAATAAAGGAATAATAAAACAATTTAAATAAAAGAAACTCAGATATGTTTAGAATAAGTGGATGGGCAGAAAAATTATGACAGAGTTGTCATTTTTGGGTGAACGATCCATTTTAAATACTGAATATTGTCAATATCTCACTCCTAGAGATTCAAACTCAAAGGCCCCTATCATACACTCGGCAAAATAAGGCGTAAGATGTGTTTGGTGCGATGTGTTGCTAGTTTCAGACTAATTCTCCCGTTTTGCGCCACGTTGTTTGAATAGCAAATCCATTTGCACCACATTGTGGACTTAGTGGTCTAAAAAAAAGAGGTGTGCTAAGGCGCATTGTTGGCGCGCTGCTATTTTGAGGAACTGCAATAGACTGTGCAATAGACCAGCTGAATTACAACAATACGCAGATATCTTTACATTTGAAAAAGAATTTAATAATCAAAATATAACAAAAAGTTTTATTTTCTACATAAATATGAAAACCACTGCCTCCATGGCTTCATCATCTCAGGGGGAGCCTGCTTTTGACAGTTTGCTTTTGTATAATGTTAGCGGTATTATTTAATATCTGCATATATATGTTACAGTTATTTGAACACACTTCAATATTATTGGTGTTTTGCTAATTTCCTGGATTATTAAAACTGAAATTATTAATAGTTTTGAAACAAATCTTTGCACTTAACAAACTAAATTAATTATGTAGGCTAAAAGATGTCCTCAGTGGAGTGCGTACAACAGTTTCCTTACTCCACAAAAGAGAAAGAGAAAGTAAAGTAGGCTAAAAAAGTTTTCTCGCTAATGAAGCGCTCAGTTTTTCCACTTACAAAGACCGCTATGTAAATAGCAAATGCACCATGGTGCAACGCAACTCACTCTTAAAGGGAATGGGAGATGATTGGTTTATTGTCAGAACACACCCATAACTCATTAAGAGAATAAGCACAACCCTGTTAGACCATGCGCTGCGGTGCAAACCATATTTTTCCGTCCTTAAAACAGCAAAATTAGATTGGGATATGCCCTTAATGCTTTTGTGCCATGCGCTGTAGAGTTGGCATCTAGATTGTTAAAATAGAGCCCAAAATAGTCCAAAATCAAAAGGTTTTTTTTTTGTCTAGATGTGGTCTGATTAACACAATATGAATAAATAAATAAATAAATAAATAAATAAAATCTTTAATTTTATTGTTTTTGTGTATCATTTAATAATGAATATTGTCAACATCTCACACCTATAGAGACTCAAAATAACTCAAACTAGTCCAAAATTAAAAGGTTTGGTGTCTTGATGTGGTCTGATTAACACAAAATAAATTAATTAATTAATTAATTAATTAATTAATTAATTAATTAATTAATTAATTAATTAATTAATTAATCTTGAATTTTACTTTTTTTGTGTGTTATTTAATAATGAATATTGTCATTATCTCACACCTAGATTTTCAAAATAACTCAAAATGGTTAAAATCAAAAGGCTTGGTGTGTAGATATGGTTTGATTAACAGAATATAAATAAATAAATAAATAAATAAATAAATAAATAAATAAATCATTTCAAATTAAAAATTTTTGTCTAGATGTGGTCTGATTAACACAATATAAATAAATAAATAAATATCTTTAACTTTACTGTTTTCTTGTATCATTTAATAATGATACATGTCAATATCTCACACCTAGAGTTTTAAAATAGTCCAAAATCAGGTTTGGTTGATATGGTCTTGTTAACACATTATAAATAAATAAATAAAAATCTTTAAAATATTTACTGTTTTATTGAGTCATTTAATAATGAATACGCTCAAAAACTCACACCTATCAAATAAATTATTCAAAATAACTCAAACTAGTGACGGTGTCTAGATATGGTCTGATTAAAACAATATTTCATCAAAAACCCATAAGAAGTCGCTCATATCATCTGCTTCACACAATGTCAGCATGAATGCAGAGTTAGCTTTGTGTACTGTTGAAAAGACAGACTCACCTCGCGATCGGACAGGTCTCCCTGCAGTACGTTGACCTTCTCTTTCAGCTCTTTTAGCTCTTTCTTATTGCTCTCCAGTTCTTCGCTCTTCTCCCTCTCATCTCTGTCTCTCTGTTCCTTCAGACGCTCAATGATGCGCTCCTGCAAACATCACAAACAAGAGACAACATGTTACACTTTCATTTAAAAACAGATACAATGGGAATCATTTACTATGTAGTTACAAAACCAGTAGTGACTTCAGATGAGTCTTGAAAGGAATAGTTCACAAAAAAATGAAAAAGTATTGACTATTTACTCTCCTTCAAGTGGTCCCAAACCTTTATAGGATTATTTCTTCCATTGAAGACAAAAAAAAAGACATTCTGAATACAACTAAGCAACCACTGACCTTACATGGTGGGAAAAAACAAATATTATGGAAGTCAATGGTTACAGGCTTCCAAATTTTTTCTAAATATCTTCTTTTGTGTTTTACAGAAGAAAGAACCTCATAAAAGGCTTGAAACAAGTGAAGGGTAAGTAAATGAATGACAGAATTTTAATTTTAGCGAGAACTATCCCTTTAAGCATACAATTGAAAATGTATGAATGTAATGTAATGTAGTGCATCATGGCCCACACGAGATCTGCCTAAACGAAAGAATCTGCGTAATTATATATATATATATTATTCAGTTTTTATATGAATTTCAGTCATTTTATTGAATAATAAGCAAATGTTTATTTGATTTAGGTACAGTACAGTTGGTAAAGTAATGTTTCTGTCTTTTTGTAGATATATATATTTATACGAGAGACTTACTTTGCTTTTTGTATTTGCACAGCAAACCTTTAAAGCTAACATTTTTTAATTTCAACTTTATTTGTTATCCATTTTTTAGTTACTATTCTCTTAAAATCATTCTGTATGAATCAACAGATTTATTATAATTCTCTTTTTTTGTTGTTTTCAATTTTTTCAAGTGTACATATTATGTCTGGCCCTACATCATACAGTAAAATCAGTAAAAACTTTAATATCATTATAGAAAATAAAATTACAATTTGGAATTAGATTTCAAATAATGTGCAAATATTATTATTATTATTATTATTATTATTTGCATTGTTAATAAGCTAAATGTATTAGGTAATTTAAATGAAGAAAGAAACATTTATTAGGCATTATTATTATTATTATAATTATTATTATTAGTAGTAGTAGTAGTAGAATTATATAAATTGCTATTTAATAATATTATAAACTAACTATATTTATTAGGTTATTTTAAAAAAAGGATGCATTTTATTGTTTTTGTCGTTGTTGTTGTTATTAATAGTATATGCAATGTTAATTAATAATATTATTATTAAGCATTTATTTCTATATATTAAGTTATGTTAAAAAGGATGAAACCCTTACTTTTATTTTTATTATAATTATTAGTATTATTATTATTATCACTACACCACTGGCACCGGCATAATTTACATTATTATTAACTAATTATATTTATTAGGTTATTTTAAAAAATGATGAAACTTTTATTATTATTATAATTATTATTTATTCATTCATTCATTTTCTTTTCGGCTTACCCCCTTTATTAATCAGTGGTCGCCACAGCCGAATGAGCTGCCAACTTATCCAGCATATTCTTTATGCAGCGGGTGCCCTCCCATCTGCAACCCATCACTGGGAAGCACCCATACACTCTCATTCACACAGATACACTACAGACAATTTAGCTTACCCAATTCACCTGCACCACATGTCTTATGGACTTGTGGGGGAAACCGAAGCACTCGGAGGAAACCCACGCGGACACGGGGAGAACATGCTAACTCTACAGAGAAATACCACTGACACAGCCGAGGCTCGAACCAGCAACCTTCTTGCTATTATTATTATTATTATTATTATTATTGCTGCTGTTGTTGTTGTTGTTATTACCACCACCAGTGAAAATTAGCACATTTCTGTACAGTATCAAATGCAATATTGTAATTATCCTCATTTCTTTCAAACAAAGACAGATGACTAGTTCTCTCACCCTGTTAAAAGTGGAATTTAATATAAACTCATAATTCAATAAATATGAGCCTAACTCTGCCCTTTGGCTGTCACTTTTATGTTGGACACTCTATCTGCATGATGGAAGGTTAACACGTTATCCATTTATGCTTCTCTTCCAAGGTCAAAATAAAAAGTGGCACTCATAAAGAGGAAATGACTTTTTTTTCTGAGGCTGCTTGACTGTAGTTTTATGTAAGCGATGCAATATTTACCCAAAAACACCAGCGCGCCAACACCTGTCAAACTTTAGAAAGCGCAGGCACACCAATTCCTTAATTCCCAACTTAAGCGTAACTCTGCACGGCCAGTGAAACGCATTCAAATGAACACATTCACCGTGCCATCCATTAATCTCACACATGTGTCAGCTCTGGCCAGGTGTTGGGAGGATTTGGCTGTGGGTTCGGGTTCAGAAAAATGGAAGTAAGTGTAGTAGAAATGAGTCAGATCTGATGTGAATGGTTACTACGCTCCACATTTTTAATAACGCCGAGAGAAAAAAAGAGACACCGAAAGCAATAAGAGGTCTGAAGAAAGCGTGTTTTGGCCTGGTGTTCGCAGTCGATGGCCTGTGAAAGAGGACGGCTGGAATTCGTGGAGAGCTTCGGCCTCCGGCGCTTTCACACCCACGCCGGCCAAAACTCACACACCGAGCGGCCCGAACCGGACAGTAATAACACGGCTCTTTCTTTCCTTTCTCACCACAGCGGCTGTATTTCACTCTCCTGAGCCGACGTTCCTGGCCGATATTTGCTCGAGCTGTGACATTAAGCATGACCGGATCATTGCTATGCCAGCTAACCCTCTCCATGACCACTGGATTCACAATATGTGCATCATATTGCAAGAGAGAAATAAAAAAAGCACTGAAAAAAAATGATTCACTGGATTTACTCAATGTTTCTAAGGTAAATGGTTGCAAACTATTTATATGGGCTGAATTTAAACAAACAAGCTAAATTTAGTAATGTTCAACGTGATGTGTTTGTTTAAATTCAGCCCATATAAGTTGTTTGCAACTAATTACCTTAGGAGAAATGTGTAAATCGAATCAATCATTTTTTTAGTGTGTGTGTTTGTGTGTGTGTTTGTGTGTACGTGTTTTTGTGACATATCAGGACACAAATCTGTATAATGACATGGGTATGACACAGGTATTACAAAAAGGGGGTGAAATATGAGGACATTGGTGACTTCCTCATTTCTCAAAATGCTTATAAATCCTACAGAATGAGTTTAATCAGAGAGTAAAGCTGCACACAGTCTAGTAGGATGGTTGGGTTTAGGGGTGGGGTGGGGGCAATACAATATATGGTTTGGACCGTATAAAATGAATGGAAACCTATGTAATGTCCCCACTTTTCACAAAAACAAACGTGTGTGTGTGCGTGCGTGTGTGTGTATCCAAAGGGCTGTTTACAACAAGAATGATGACCATTAATATAGTAATCAAGATGAACACTACCTGATAATAGTTTTGTCGTCTATCCTAGTTTTAGGAACAACAAATAATAACTTGACTTCTAGTTGATCATTTGCTATCATATTTCGGTTGGGATTACATCAAATATTGAATAGAAATGCACATTTTAAAGCACTTCGCGAGACCCTTAAAGCTGTTCATAAATTCTTAGCAATACACACTAGAAAATGTATGAAATGTCTTTAGGGATCATGATCTTTACTCACTTTTCTAATAATGTTTGGAAGGAATAATGATCTATCATTGGCCTACAAACATACACATGCAACTTAAGATTTTAAGGAGTTTTGCAATGCAGGTTTACAAATTCATTTGTTTCTACTTCAATCAAGTCCAAACATCAAATTACCACCCCATTTTCTTGATTAAAGAGTTTGTAGATAATGCAAAGTGCCGTCTGAAATATTCTTCTAAAATAAAATTTTCAGGATCTTGTGTTTATGACCAGTTATTTCACTTCTATGATGATGAAGATGTTATTTTCATGACCTTTAAAGTGAAATAACTAATCATAAACTACATTTTAGATGGTGGTTAGAGAGTTTTGCATCTGAACTCTTTATATTTGAACTAAAAACAAAACAAAACAAAATCTTTTATGTTTATATTTGTCATTATCATACATGGTGTGAACAGGCCTCAAGAAGATAAAGATCTACCTGAGGGACCATGCTGCAAAAGTGCATACGTGTACGCTTGTGTCCACTCTTTATGTGTGTCCACTTTTCAATATGCAGATGACAAAGTTAATTTCCGGGCTGTGGCTGGGTGGAACGTGAGGCCCAAACCTCGGTGCGTGAGGGTATGCGAGCGAGATGAAGTGGTGGGGGGGGGGGAAGCATAACAGCCGATCGCTGCCAAAACTGCGGATATGCAAGACAATGCTAATAACCGGCGGGGTTAATTCATTCATATTCATGAGCTGGAGTTCAGGGCTGGGTGTCGATTCAGGGAAGTGTGTGAAGGTGTTTGCTGAAGACAGTCACACGTGTGATGTGAGCTGATGAGAAGTGGCAGGAATTGACCTGTGGATCTGTGAACGTGCTGGGAGGTCGAACGTGGCGCAGAAATGACTGAGTTCTTACATAAGGGTGTGTGACAGAGCAATCTTCACTGCTGTCACACACACACACACACACGCACATGCACACACGCACACGCACACACACACACACACACATACATACATACACACACATACACATACACATACACATACAGAATCAGTTCACCTGTGTTAACTCTGTGTAACCATGCTACCCCCCATACACAGTGTCATTAATTATAACTATTTAAAATAATCAACAATAAAACACTGATTTAATACATACTTTTTAAATTAGAATAAATAATGTACAATTTTACTATTATTATTATTAATAATAATAATAAATTATAATAAAGAGCTAAATGTATATTAAATATAATATCAATAGTGTTAAATTTTACATTAATTTTAAATGTAAATGAACATAGCTGCAGTTAATAATAATAATAATAATAATAATAATAATAATAATAATAATAATAATAATAATAATAATTATTATTATTATTATTATTATTATTATTATTATTATAAATTATAATAAAGAGCTAAATGTATATTAAATATAACATCAATAGTTTTAATTTTTACTTTAATTTTAAATGTGAATGAACATAGCTGCAGTTAATAATAATAATAATAATAATAATAATAATAATAATAGTAGTAGTAGTAATAACAACAACAACAACAACATAAGCAGGGTTGTATTTTATATTTAACTGAAACCATAAAACAAAAGTCATATTGAGTTTTAAAATTTTTATATTTACTAATAGAATTTGATAAAACATGGTATTCCATATAATACTAATAATATCAAATATATAGTAATGTTAATGTTATTACTTATAGCAGTTTATCATATTATAGTATATTGTATTATATCATATTATATTGTATTATAATATATTATATTATATTATATTGTATTATATTATATTATATTGTATTATATTATATTATATTATATTATATTATATTATATTATATTATATTATATTATATTATATTATATTTAAAGTGTCATATAATTATACAGAAGTGTCGTTTATAGTTATAGAAATGTGTCGTTTGAACACTTACAGTGTCTCTCGGTGCTCTAGAACTGCTGGTTTCTGACTTTTCAATGATTTTTTTCTCTCGCATAGACTGATCACAATGGTATGAACCGTTATAGGGGTGGTCAAATGTATGTTAATATAATCTATTATTTTAACTAGAAATATAATTTAAGACACAGATCAGAGCCAACTATATCTCACTATTTGAAGGACTGACCACCCATACATGTTGTTTTGACGTCCTTCAGGGATTCCAAGCATTACTTAGGGGAGTCAAACCCCTCAGTAATTCACACCCTGACTATTACTTTCTTAAAATTAGAAATAATAAATAATAGCTTATCTTTGCTACTGTGTAGGTGACAGATAGCTACTTGAGAGGTAAGTTAAATGCAAGTTAAAATGTGCTATGGTGTCAAACCAAAACCTGAGACCTAGTGAACTTAACAAAGGCAATAAA